TACTTCAGAACCTTCACAGAAAAATCTGTTAAGATAGATGAATTTAGATGATGAAAATATAGTTTTAACTGTATCCAATTCTGCTCCTAGTGAATTCCAAGTTTCTGCAGTTATTTTGAAATGACTGTCAGCCGTTCTTTGTTGATGTTCAAGACTTGATTCTGGGTCTAATTCTACTGCTTGTACGGCATCGTCTATTAATCCTGCAGTGCTAGCTGCCTCTGATGATAAGAGCAATCCAGCTCTTTTTGCTTTCCTCACACAATAAAGCGAAATGTGCACATTGAAAATGCTATCACATGTTCCTGTCCACCCTTGAAAGAGTCCCTTAGGGAGATTGGAATGAGCAATCTTTTTGCAATATATGCCCTAATCCCTTTCCATATTGATTTAAGACGTAGGTTGCTTGGGGCTTTTGTCATTCTAATGAGATAGTCATGGTGCATAGACCAAGCATCCCTGTCGCCCAAAGGGCTCCATCCCGACATATCATTTGACATTATAATGACCTTGTCTTGTGTGTCCCTCCTTGTCATAGAACAAATCCTGTCAAAGATTGATTGCACCTCAATATCGGACTTTCTTGCTGTAACACCTTTGTACATTGCAGCTATTGGGATAGCAGCTCTATCATAACATGTTGTTAGCTCTCTTGTAATATCATCAGCTGACCATGTTTCCCTACACTTTGCACCTGGTTTTGTATTTTCACATTTAACTGCCATAACTGCCATTCTGCTCCATGGGTCCACTCCTGTACCCAAGTGCTTTATTATATTAGATGGCTCCCAATCATATGATAACTTGGGCGCATGATCTAGTGCATAGAGTAGTTCGTTATGAGACTTTCTTGGTTGGATCTGGAATGCCTTCAAATCTGAATAGTATGATTCTTTGGACAGTACATGCGTCACATCCGCTGCTTCCCAGTACCACTCAGGGATCGTATTGTTGAAAGGAAAGAATCCTTCCACCCACACTTTCCCGAAATCTTGGTCTGGTGGTAGTTTGAATTTCCCTTTTAAACATGACTTGTACCAAGGCTCATTGTCAAATGTGTATCCTTCATGAATGCCGTATTTTACCTCCTTCTTATAGATCACCATGCTCTGCAGAAATCAATAGTCATGCAATAATTCATAAAGTCATAAAAATCATACCCTGACTGGAAATCATCACTTTCACCCCCTTGTATCTCCGGAATCGTGCCTATGCTCATCTTGAAATTTTACTGAGATTAATGTTTCATCTAATAGTACTATTTAGCATGAAAAAAAGTTCGAAATTTGAGGTCCAAAAAATGGGCTAAATTTGCCATCACTCTTTTAAATAAAATTGAAGTGTGTAGGAGAACGTTTCTCAGAATCGTAAAGGAGCGAGTCAAACGCGATGCTGAAGACAATGCGAAAGATGCGAATAACTCGCGTGTCTATATAATATCCGCCTAATCTGGTAATAGCGCTCGCTTCTCACTCTCTTGCACATGCGCAGAAAATAAACGCTAGCGCTGCTCTCAGGCTCGTAATAGACCATTCAACAGGCCCGAATATTCAAGAGAGAAAATCTTTAACGAAAATAATTTATATAATTTTGCGAAAAGCATTTTAATCATGAATAGTATTAAAATTACAAGCAATATTTATCAGGAACATGCTAGAATTCTTAATAACGTACCAATTTTTGAAGTACATACCGAACAAATGTAATACAAATTATTTAAATACAAATTGCAATGTCGCGCATTTAGCGGAATACTTATTCGCAAATTTTCAAAGTCTAAATATAAGCAAAAAATGAAATCATTGCAATCATGGACATTTGCGGAAAGTGCCAGTGATTAGTATAAACATTAATATAATTTTAGAAAACGGCCTTTCTGAATTACCAAACGCTATTAGATACAAATCATGATAAAGACCCCATGTGTAAAGAATGCCGCCAAAATGTGCTGAAAAAATATAATTTTTAATCACATTTACTTGTAGATTGCAGCGTCTCCATGAACAAACGATATGCTGCTTCAATTGATGTAGAAAAAAAACATATGACACTCGAGTTTATACCTAAAGCCTTAGATATTAATGAACAACATTACGTCATAGCTGGTGCAGTATCCTATCATAAATATGCCAGTAATAAAAATGAGCATTATACAGCAAACATTTATGATACGACTCACTGGTATTTATACGATGATATGGTGGCTAAATGGAAAATAGCATCAGACGATGAAGAGATAACACCACATTTACTAATGTAAAGAGTAGCAATTAAACAAAAATTTATGCAATAAATAACAATTTCTTTGTAACAAAATTTATGTATTTTATACGCGCATTATTGATTCTTAATCATTTAGCAACATAATCTCAAACATTCTTTATCTCACATACATTCGATCACGTATAACACACAAACAACAGAGAAAGTTTAGTGTTATGGAGTATTGCAGAAGAGACAATCCGTGGAGATGATTTTCCGTGTAACTGATCAAAAATATTCTAACTGTTAAACCCAAAGAAGTAGAAAATTTTTTGAGTTTCGACAATTCTGTTAATAGTTCTAAATAGTCACGAGTTATTACAACGATAGTTATTACTATTCTAAGCGCTAAAATTAAAATTGAGAGTTCAGGATTCTTCCATGATAATCCAAAATTCAGATCATTTTCGGATCCAGAAATTCCTTATATTTGGAAAATAAAAAATTTTTCCATGTCTCAATCTTACTGAGAGTTCTGGGCAGAACTTAAAAGTTTTAACGATAATTATTAACACTCGAAGTTCTATGATGCGAAATGAAAAGTTCTCGTTGATCGAAGTTACTATTTTAATAATTTTCTAAATCCCATAGAGGCGAAAATTTTTTTCGATAACCTGCAGTTCTGTTGACAGTTTTGGGTAGCACCTCAAGAGTTCTAACAAAAATTATTAACATTCAAAGCGCTTAAATTAATATTTAAGGAGATATCGAATTTTTCTTATTTTATTTTGTAAGGTTAACACCCCGAAAATTTAACATTTTTTTTACTTAATGTGCCAGAACTATTTTTAATTTTATTAAGGACTTTTAATTATATTAACTCTAAAACTCTTAGAGATGCGTTCAAAACTGCAATAAAAAGTTCAATTTTTAAGGATAAGATGCTAATTTCACAGAAGTTATGTATTTTTTTCTTAAAAACAATTGTATTTTCTTTACACCAATTGGTTCCTCTCATTATTTTATATTTTATTTTGCATAAAAATATTAAAATCATGTTATCGGAAAATGAATATTTTGAGATATTTTATAATTTGTATAAAATTAAAAAATTATTTCAAAAGTCATAACTTAAAAAGTATTTAAAAGTAACTTAAAAAGTATTAAAAAGTATTTAATAAAAAAATATTTTATTATAGTATTTTGAAAAATTCTCGAGAAGTTACAAAACTCTGAATAATCAAAAATAGAGAATTCCACTTAAAAAAATAAAGATGCCCTTCATATGACCTTCAAATGTCATATGAAGGGCATCTTTATTTTTTCTGGGTCAAATTATTGTCATCTTCTTATGACCTACTTGAAACCGTACAATTATTCTCTAAAATATTTTTGCCTTAAGCATAAAGGCTTTGAGATATTCTAATAGATAGCTTAAAATGGCCCACCCTGTGCGTGCGTGAGTGCGTGCGGGCGCGCGCGCGCACGCATGTGTTCGCGTATGTGATCGTCTGTATGTGTATACAGTGATTCAAAATACTCTATAAAATGACATATTTCTGACTAAATTCTGAAGCCCTTTTTCCATTTGCAAAATTTTGTTTGAAGTTTAGTTTTTGATTAAAAGGATATAATTAACTTATTATATATGAGTCAAGTATAGAAAGCAGGTAATAAATTCACTGTCAGATGTAGACGCTTACATGAGGCAACTAACACAATCAACTAATAATGATAATAATGATAATTAATAATTATGAGTGAGTGAGTGAAAGAATGAGTGTATGTTTGTGTGTATGCATGTATATGTCTATGTATACTATCGTGTATAGCAATCAGTTGATCGCAAAAAGCGCTCTACATAAGTACCTGCATCTGAATGATGAATCGCGCCGCTCTTGCTTGTTTTTTGTATTTAGTCCGTAGTAAGGTAACTATTTCCTTTTAATCTATTCAGAAACTAATCTTTGAAATTTTGCAAAAAGAAAAAGTTCAATTTCGAAAAGGTCGTTTCAGAATTGAATCAGGAATATATCATTTTAAGGACAATAGATTATTTTGAATCATCTATATTTATACAAGTTGCAGAAGAAAGATCTGGAACTCCGAATAACTCTGAAAATATACAAGGAATAAAAATAAAAAAATTTTACAAAAGCAGAGTTTTAAGTGGTGTATTACATAGTATTATTAATATGATCTTAAATAGTTGTAAAGATAAAGATCATCTTGAAATTTTGAAGTGGTATTCCCATTTTTTATTAGATATTCTTGTAGCTCATCTTAAGAGTTTTCCAAAATACTATAATAAAATATTTTTTTATTAAGTACTTTTCAAATTATGAAACTTGAAATAATTTTTTAATTTTGTAGTCACAGTCCCACCTCGGCCGATATATGCGATACCGACGGAACCCCCCCCCCCACATGCGCGTGAGTGCACGCTTTTTGTAAACGAACAATTGTATTGTATGTTAGCCAGAGGGAAAGTCGTTAAAGAGAGAGTTCAAGTTGTTCTTTCCTTGATTCTTCTTCTTCCACAATTTTATATGAACTATACAATATCTCATAAAATATTTATTTTTTGATAATCTTATCTAATTTTATGCACAAAATAATGAGAAAAATCAGTTGGTATAAAGAAAATACATATTTAATTATTGCCATCATCTTATGTTTCTTCGAAAGTGTATAATTATTAAAACTTTTTTTTTCTAAAATACTGTAATATGGAGATTTTGATTCCTTAAAGTTAGAATAAAATTTTCTGTATATAGACTTTATAAAATATTTTTCAGAATCGTTTGCAAAGATGTATAATGGAATGCAATGATAATATAAAAGACAAAGTGGGACCAAATCCTACACAAATTGAAATGGATAAATATAGTGAAGAGTTTGAAAAATGTGCCATTACGTGTGTGGACTCTTATTGCAAATTATTACCCTCCTTAGAAAAGACTATGAAGAAGGTGCTCAGTAAAAACGAGTTCGTTTAGTTTGTAATTGAAAAATATATATTTCATACATTATCTTATTTCATGTTTAACATTCTTAATTAATAATGTGTTTATGTCTAGCAACATAAGAAAACATTTGTTTTTTAGAAAATAATTGTGTGTGCGTGCAATAACTTTTAAATTTACTATTCCACACACACACACACACACACACAGATTATTATAAATTATATATATATATATATATGTATATAATTTATTTATAATAATGAAATGTAAAAAAAGAAACTTCTGAGAAAAAAACCACAATTAAACTATCTGATTTTTTTCTTTATCCTTTCTTTTTTCTTTTTCTTATTTTCTTTCTCTTTTTTCTTTTTTTCTCTTTATATGTTTGCTTACATTTTTCTTATACTTATTCTTTATATTATAGTTAATGAATTATATTATATTATAGTTAATAAAAAATTAATTTTTGACAAAACAAAAGATAGTGATATTATTATAATATCAATAATATATATTCTCGAAAAATTTTTCGAAAATTCTGAATTATTAAATATGTTATATACAGGCAACCTTTAATTACATTGATAATCTTTGTTGATAAATATGTAATAAAGATGTTACAGAATATGTGTTTTGTTTTTGTGTATAAATTAATCCATTAAATGTAAATTAATCCATTAAAGTAATGATGCAATAAATTAATATATTAAAATAATGATATATAAGATACACAAATATGGTAAGTGATACAGTAAATATGGTACATAAAATGTTAATATTGTAAGTGTTTTGTAGCAGTTTTTTATACAACGTTTATATATCATCTTTAATCAGATTTAATAACATCCGTAGTTTTAAAATTGGCTAATTATTAACTCTTTTATTCTTTAAAGAAATGTAATTGGTTAACCTAAAAACTACAGATATTATTAAACACGATTAAAGATGACATGTAAACGTAATGTCAAGATATGTGTGTAGTAGTTCTTTAGTTCATTTAACTCTCGTCACATGTTTATTTCAGAACTCAAATCTGACATTAAAATCAATGTGACACTATATTAAATCGAGATGCTGATTGAAATTTTACCTGTAAAAATTGAATAAAGTAATGTTTCATGTATTTTAATGCTATTTGAATGATTAGATTGACAATTGAATGATTTGAATTTTATGCAAAACTTATTCATATAAGATTCCATTTTTCGATTTTTAACAAAACAGATGTGTATTAGCGAAATAAAATATTTTATATATTATCTTGTTTTATATCTTGTATATCTCTTATATTTATCTGCAAAATATCGATACAATAATGTCATATTCGTATTACACAATCTTTCTTACTTTGAATTTACTTTTTTTTGGAATGAAATTATTGAAATTTAAAATAAAATAAATTATATCATGCAGAAAGCACTTTCGTCTTATTTATTGTTTCTCAACGCATACATAACAAATAGTGTATTACCAGCAGGGAAGGGAACGTTACTTTTTAAAAGTAACTAGTTACCGTTACTCGTTACCAAGTTAAGAAGATAACTAGTTACCGTTATTAGTTATTGATTTTCAAAAGTAACTAGTTATAGTTACCGTTACTTAAAAAATAACGGTTCGTTACTTTTTCGTTACTTTTTTTTAATCTATAATTGTAATAAATTTTGTTTCGTGCAATATATACTCTCTCTCTTTCTTTCTTTATGAAAGGATTATCTAAATCACAAAACATATGTTAAATTTTATCGATATTTTTTATTAATTTTTAATAAAAGTTGATATTCTAATAAGTCATCATTTAGATGGCCTCTAGAAGGTGATAGTACAGAATTACCGATACTAAACAATCTTTCAACCGAAGCACTGCTTGGCAAAGCCGTATTAAATTTAATGAATAACTTTTTTAATTTTGGAAAATCTAGTAATAATGCAACGTCAGATCTTTTCGATTTCAGAAATCGTGTTAGTTCTTCTTCGCCAGATTCTGAAGTTGATGTTGATTGTCCATGAAAATTAAAAAAATCGTCATAATCATTATCTTTGCTTGAGTTTGATGAACTTTCATTTGAGCGAATGTCTAACAAATCTTCTAAATAGGCTCTAGCTAATTTCTTCTTATCTCCATTTAACCAGTTTAGTTTAAATTTAGGATGTAATGAACTTGCTATTATTAATTCCTTTTTTTCAAATATTGTACAAAATCTAAAATTTAAAAAATATACATATAATAAAATATTTATACTTTTATATTTTTTATTATGCAAATATTATATGCATTTTTTTAGTTGTATATTTTTTTATTATTTAATAAATTACCTTCGATTTAAGCCTTCTTGAATTGCGATAACTAATGATTGACAATCCGTCAAATTTTTGATGTTTTTTAATTTTTCTTGTAAGCTGCTCAATACGGGCAATAAGTATCCCATATACATTCCTACGTCACTTTGTAAGATATCTAATGCTCTAGCTAAAGGCTCCATTACCTAAAGAAAATATTTAAAATATATACTTATTAATATACGTGCATATACAATACATATGTATATATATACATATTATACATATAATTCATATATTCTATTACATTAAATATGTGCACTTTACCTGACAATACTCGTCTAAAAATTTTACGTCATTATTTGTCAGCCTTTGTAAATTACAATAGTCCAAACAGTGATTAATTTTATCTGAGCTATCTTTCAAAAGAGTTACAAGTTGATATGTGGAATCAAAAGTTGAATTCCATCTATAACAAATAAATTTTGTTTTTATATTGTATATATGTATAAGTATATATCATGTGTATGTGTGTTCGTATGTTTGTAAGCATATGTATATGTAAATAGATATTTTTAAAAAAATATAACATTTATTAAAATAAAATACAGAAAAAATATAGATAAATAAAAAATAAGAGCTTTTTTAGTTTTTACCTCGTAATAACTGGAGTTTTTAGATAAACGCCGCAAATATCTTTTATTTTGTCGGCCACTTGAGTAGACTGGTTTTGTTTATTCCATAATTTCGATAATTTTGCAAATATTATTCTGTACTTTTTTTTATATGTGGGATCATTCTCCAAGGCTCTTTCAGAATCTTTGGCTGCAATAAGATTAAGCGTGTGACTAACACACCTATGGTGTGGTGGAAGAGTAATATCTTCCGTGTCTAAACTTTCTTCATTCGTAATCAATAGATCACTTAAATTGTGAAATTCCGTGTTAATCTCCTTATCTTCTTCTTTTTCAAAGTCTCTAAAAAATTAAATATATTTATATAAAAATGTAATATGTGGTTTTTTTAATATAATGAATACATATAAAATTATTATGCACATACATATAATACAAAAGTGTATATAATATCATAAAATATTAACTCACCGAAATGCTTTAACAAAATTTGAACCATTATCTGTTGTTGTGCAACAAATTTTATTTTGAATATGATATTCAACAAATATAGAGTTAATGGCTTTTGCTAAAACATCAAAAGTATGTTTCCCTTTAATTCTACGACAAGCTAAGGCGGCAGACTCTCTTGTTAAATTTTCTGGATTAATCCAATGGACCGTTACTCCTAAGTAACTTCTATAAAAATAAAAGATTTTAATTATTTTAATTATTATGTAATAAAACATTAAAAAATAAAATATTAATGTAAAAATATTAAATAAAACATAATTATACACACATGTACCTTTTCGCTTTGCTCCATAAATCTGCTGTAGTTGAAACCGTATCGATTTCAGTAAATTGTTTTTCAAGAGCGATTTTCATATCCAGATATAATTTATTAAGTTTATCTCTTAATGTTTTTTTACACATTATTCGAATTGATGAAGGCAATCCAATTTTAATCAAATCAATAAATGCAGGACTCTCAACAACCGCGAGTGGTTGGACATTTTCAACAATAAATCGTAGTATGGCAGTGTCTAACTTATTTTGAGTTATTCCAGCTGTTCCAGAACTCCATTTTTGTAACACACACTGCTTTTTTGTAACATTATTAATGTCTTCTTCATATTGACGTTTATTATGTGTGAGTTTAGATTTAGCTTTTTCCAAATCTTTTAAAGAATGTGGATGTTTTACCTATATTAATTCAATATAATTAAAACTTAGAAATAAAAGTAATATCATATATATGTATAGATAGGTATACATGTATGTATGTATGTATGTATGCATATATGTATGCGTGCATGTATATATGTATGTATGTATGTATGCTTGCATTTATGTGATATATTATATATACATATGTATGTAAATATGTGTGTATACATATATATGTATATTATAAATGTTACAATATAAAGAAAATAATAATATAGTAACTAAAAATTATTTAAAAGTTCAACTAACTAAAAAAGTTTTTAAACAGAAATAAAAGAAAGCATATCTAAAAAAAATTATAAAATTAATTTATAACAAAATACACACAAATATATAGATATATTGAAACAGATATATATGTAAATAACAGATATTAAGATATAAATTTTTATATTAATATTGTTTTAAATTTAAAAAAATCTGTTATAAAATACAAATAATTCTTTGTCATTTACAAAAATAAAAATAAAAAATTTAATGTTAAAAAGAAATAAAAGAATAAAAATATATATTAATTTATGAAAGAATTATTAATTTTTATATTTATTTAAACACACTTATTTATTTAAACACACTTTTACATGCCATGCTTTTTATACCTACTATTTTTACATTGGAGATTTGATTCAATGAACTAGAATATACGGTGCAATTGTGTACATTCCTTAGAATCTAAAAAAAAATTTTTTAATTTTACAAATTTTCTTGTATTCTTTTTTATTTAAATATTGAATTAATTACTATTATAAAAATATACAGTTATCGTTATTGCGTTTATTTTGCACAAAGTTTTTAAGAAATTAAGAAATTATTTTATATGTATATATATATATATATATGTATTTATTTATTTATTTAGATATTTATTTATTTATTTATTTATATGTATATTAACAAATAAAATATTGAAATTTATTTATTAACATAAATAAAAATAATAAGAAAACTAAACTTACGCTTATGTGCTTCTTTAAATTGGCTGTGGAGCTTTTGCTAGCATGTATAATTTTTTTGCCTAAACATAATTTGCAAGTAAATGCATAATTCTTCTCATTACTAAGTTCAGGTTCGAATACAAAAATTTCTTTGTATGCCGGCCATGGTGCCTTATTCAAGGATTTAGATGATGTACTTGGCGTATTCGCCTCTTCGGCTATCGTTTCCATTTCTGAGCAGATCCGATCGCTACAAAAAATCACAAACCAAGGCCAAAAGTTTTATTATTTTTATTCAGAGAGACTTATTATTAAATAATATTTCGTGTGATACAGAATAAAGCCGCACAATACTAAATTATAAGTAATGTCTTTTAATAATAAACGATTAAATAATTAAACATACTTACACTGTGAGAGATATAAAATATCACTTGCGACGTAGTCAGTGCAAAGTGCAAACCGCGAAATCAAAAACGAACGTAGCGTAGACAGACAGACCGTGTACGCGAGGAGATAACGGCCGTATAATAGCACAAAGATATAGAACCGCTGTAAAAGCCGAGACAGACCGCACGAGAGTACGGCGGAGAACGACCGCGTGATACAGTAATGCGGGAATATGCACTGTCAAGGAAGCAGAGAAAAGGTATGTGTACGGGAACACTTGCACAAATCGTGAACACATTGATTGGTACGATGATAAATATTACGAACTCTGTAATAAAAGCAGGACTGCGAACGCGACACGCTATTATTGCGACGTTACTTCTTCGATACCGGCACATGAACGATTGCCACGCGGTATAGCTTAAGGTTAAGTTAGTTCTTAGTTACTTCCTGCGCAGCCTTCTGTACAGAGGACAGGGCAGGTGCACATGCGCAACGGGCGTGCCAAATGGCGAACCTAGTGCGGCGAGTCTTACAACGAGCACGGTATCATGCCGATTTGCTAATGCATCGATCAGCGAAAAAGTAACGCTAAAAGTAACTGTAAATTCGTTATCGTTACTAAAAAAATGTAACTACGTTATCGTTACAGTTACAGAAAAAAAAGTGTAACGCCGTTACCAATCCGTTACCAAAAAAAAGTAACTATAACGGTAACGGCGTTACAAGTAACGCGTTACTTCCCTTCCCTGTATATTATTAATGAGATATAAAGTATATTAATATGATAAATTTACAAGTTTTGAATTTTGAGTAAACATAAGTGTTGGGTATCATTAACCGTTATCGCTAGATGTCACAGGCGAGCCGTAGCGATCATGGGGTGGTCCGGCTAGGGTGAGCACGGTTGTAGTGGTGCTCACTCGTGAACAAAGTATGTTTTCCGCGACGCAGAGTGTCACAAGTATTTGAAGAAAGGCCATATCGCGAAAATATGCCGCTCAAATCCAAAAGAGCCAAAATCTTCTTCCAAGATAAAGAACAGCGCAACGCTCTCCACGATCGGTAAAAGCCAACGACATTACGTAACATCTATATTCGGAAAAATCGTAATTCTACAGTACGATACCGGCTTGGATATGTTACGTCCCGGTTACAAAATAATAGAAAACTACAATATCGAGACGACTTAACTTAGTTATTTTAATCAAATGCCTCCCGTATTTTTCAGTCACCCTGCATTTACCGGGTTTAGGGAGGGGTTGGGGATGAGGGAGATTATGATCTATTATCAAATTTAAATTAAATTCTAAATGAGGATAAACAAAATAAAAAAATAAAATAATATAATATAACTAAGTGATTAGATTAAATAAGAAAACGCAATTGATCATAAAGTAATGCCGAAAGAATGAATAAAATTAAAATAATTAAGATTATTATTAATTCTATCATTACATTTATTAATAAATGATGATAGTCAAATAATAATAATGAATTCAAATAATAGGATAATCAATAATTATAAATCGAAGTAATAATTATTAATCATAGTAATAATGAATCGTACAAAATAATGTTCAATTCAGCGTCAACACTCTCGTGTTCACTCTGCAGTTTCGTTTATTGTTCACCTTACAATAGTTTTATGTTTACACAGATTTCGTTTAATTTTATCGCTCGCGATTTTATACGCCTCGAGAAATCTTTGGGTCGCGATGACGCCTCGGGATACGAACCCAGATCGCGACGACGCCTAAGAGATCATTCGGAATGCGAGACCTATATCTTTCGAATTTGGCCTTTTCGTATTCTTGTTTTTCGCTTGGAGATCACCCTGTCACTGACTCCGCTGCTGACCTCCGTCGATTTCCGGAAGAGCCGAAGTCGCTCGATTCGCGGATCGTAGGGCCTTAGGGCCGCCCATCGACGAATTGACAACGCGCCTGCATCGCAAGATCGCGGAGGCCGCGGACGGAAATTACCAGCGGGAAATATTCCCTGACTATTGTCTCGAATTTCGCTTTTTCTAGTAGGCATTACGAAAGCCTAGTCGTGCTCGACGTTTTTGATATTATGCCGTAACATACTCCCCCGTTGAGAGTGTAACGATCAATTTGTATTATACGGGATCTACTTGATGTCGTATTTCTCGATATAACGCTTATCGTGTATATTTGTTGAATCGCTCGCATATTTCGTCTGATAACGCATTGATGTTCGCTTTTACATTTTTGTTTTCGTTTTCAATGGTTATTCGACTGGTAAGGGACAGAGAAGTTTTGTTGTTCTCAATTCTCCGGTTGCTGTTTTGATAATGGCAGTTCGTGCAATTGCATCCTCGCCTGGTAATAATTCAGTGATTTTACCGAGCGCCCATTGCGAACATGGTTGGTTTTTGTCCTTGATGAGTACGACAGCTCCGACCTGAAGTTCCGGCCCGTCCTTGATCCATTTGTGACGTTTTTAAAGCTCGTTTAGGTATTCAAGATGCCATCGAGCCCAGAAATCTTGTCTCACTTTTGTAATGTGTTGCCAGGTGGACAATCGATTGGCTGAAACACATGATACGTTGCCCCCCCCGGGAAGGACATTAGTGGTTTGCCAATCAAGCAATGTGCAGGCGTTAATGCCAACACGTCGTTCGGATCGGACAAAAGGGAGGTGATAGGTCTGGAGTTTAGGACACCTTCGATCTCTATTACAAATATATTTAATTCCTCGAAAGTGAATAAGGCATCGCCAACAACGCGTCGGAAATGATGTTTAAATAGTTTTACCGTAGCTTCCCAAAGACCACCGAAATGTGGTGCTATTGGTATGAAGTGCCACGTGATACGATGCTCGCTGGCGAACCTCCCTATTAATTTTTTGTGTATATTTGAATTAAATAAAGCGTACAGTTTCTTCAATTGGTTGTTCGCGCTTACGAAATTGGTTCCATTATCTGAATAGATATGGGTTGGTAATCCTCGCCGCGCCGTAAAACGTCGTAAGGCCGCTAAAAAACCGTCGGACGACAGATCGCTCATGACTTCGAGGTGTACTGCCTTAATAGACATACATATGAATATGCATATATAAACCTTGACTCGCGTTCTATTGCGATATTTCTTCTCCTTTATATAAAAGGGGCCGCAAAAATCGACGCCAGTGTTGGCGAATGGTATTGCTTCGCGTACACGGGTTGACGGGAGATTGCCCATCTTGTATTCTATCGTGCTGGCATCGTAACGAAAACAGCGCGTACACGCACATATTATCTTTCTTATTTGATTCCGTCCGTCGAGTATCCAGAATCTTTGCCGCAGAATGGACAGTGTTGTTTGAATTTCCGTGTGATAGTGAGTTTCATGAATTTCACGTATAATTTGATCGGTCAAACGATGTCGACTGGGAAGCAAGACCGGGTGCCTTTGCGAAAACGTTAAGTTTGATTTTTGGAGACACCCTCCTCTCGAATCAGACCGTTCTCGTCTAAGAATGGGTTTAAATTGACGAATTTACTTTTGATTGCCGAACGTTTAGCCTTGAGTCGTTTGATTTCGTCGGAGAATTGCGTGGCTTGGATAATTTTTTAAAATTCGCATCTCGGCTTCGTTGATTTCTTCCGCGCATAACGGTCCGACGTATTTGTTAAACGGACGAAACCGAAGGCAATAGGCGACGATTCTACGCAATTTAGAATAGGATGAATATTTTTCAAATATATCAAAATTACGGGATATGATTGATAGATATGTGTTTGTCTTCATTTTGGGCACCTTATTTATCCGTACACTCTCGTTGGGCCATTCGCTTTCATCATTAATTAACCAGGACGGTCCGGTAATCTATGTTCGATTTCGCACGAAAGCGTGAGGCAATTGACCTCTCGATATTGCATCGGCCGGGTTCTCTTCCGATTTAACGTGTCTCCATTCATAGGCGCTAGTAAGTTCCTGCACTTCCGCGACTCGATTTGCTACGTAAGTTTTGAGAAGATGTGATAGTGTTTTTAACCAATGCAAGACGATAGTTGAGTCGCACTATAGAATTATTTTGTTGGGTGTAATACCCCACGCATCGTTTGTTTCGCGGCATAATCGTGCCAATAATAATGCGCCGCAAAGTTCGAGTCGCGGTGTAGTGATAGTCTTTCAATGGCGCTACCCGGGACTTGGCGCACAATAATTTAGTAATAACGTATTGTCCACTCGAGCGTACGTATAGACATGCACTGTAGCCATTGTTGCTGGCGTCGCAAAATCCGTGAATTTGAAAATTTTGATAGTTATTTATTAATAACTGACGATCAAAGGAAATCTGAGTTAGTAATTCCAATTGACGAGTGAATTCTGCCCATTCGGTGTATATGCTCTGTGGAACGGATTCATCCCATTGCACTCCGCACTGCCACACATCTTGCATTCATTTCTTTGCGTACAGAACGACCGGGCTCAACAAGCCCAAAGGATCGAAAATTTTAGCGATTTCGGATAATATGTTCCGTTTCGTCAATCGTCCAGTAATCTTAGTCGAATGAATCGAATAACATATTTTGTACGTATGTACGTTAAGCCTAACGTTTTTAGAGCGTGATCTATGTTTATCGTAAAGTTCGCGTGTAACTCGCTTTCAGCTAAATCATTGATGATTTTTTTATCATTAGACGTCCATTGTCGGATAGTGAAACCACCCTGCGCTAATAAATTGATTATCTCGTCTCTAATCGCGCGCGCTTCCTCAATGGTCTCGGCGCCGGATAACAAATTGTCTATGTACGATTTGACTAGATGCGATTCGAGGAGTTTAGCCGCCTTAGCATATGTAAGGCGTTCATCATTCGCGAGTTATATAGTGCGGACTGTAAGAAACGGTGAGGAAGATACGCCAAATGTAAGTGTGTTTAATTGAAACGTTTCTAATTTGCCGTTCCTGCGCCAGAGAATTCGTTGATATCGCCGATCATCTTCATGTAATAACACTTGGCGATACATTTTTTTCTATGTCCGCCGTAATAACAAATTTGTATGAGCGAAAGCGAATGAGATGTCAAAACAATTTGTCTTGTATCGTGGGTCCCGTCCTCAAAATATCATTTAAAGAGATGCCATTGCTTGATTTTGCGGATGCGTCGAAAACTATTAATAGGCCTATAATCACTTGCTTTTTCCGCTTTATCTATCTTTGGGATTGGTATTATCGTTGAGGTTTTCCATCCTTCCGGACACAAACCTTCTCTTAAAGAATTATTATTATATTCGCAAATTCCCTCTTTTATTACCGAAAAAAATTGCCTTCAATATATCGCTGGTTATCCCTTCTTCCGTACTTTTCTTTTTTGACAATCCCATAATTATAACAACTTTTTCTAGCTGTTCTAGTTTAACAGTCTCAAAGTTTTCCATAATTCTTTTGTTTTTGATAATATAAATAATTTTCTTATTTACATTCATCCAATGATCAATTATATCACCACCGGATTTATCGATCTTTATAGAGTTTACTATGTTTATTAATACTTTGTATATAATATAAATTAAATTTATCAGCTATATTGCACTCTTCGGTATCGCCTAAGATTTCAAAATCTACATTTCCTACTTCTTTTATACCTACTGGTTTACCCCTAATTATTTCCTTCAATGTTTTCCACATAGATGTAGGGTCTCCTTTATTAAGATCTATCATATATTCATAGTAATTTTCTTCTTCTCCCTGATTAATTTTATTACTTTATTTCTTTCAATTTTATACTGCAACCAATTTTGTTCAATATCATCATACAATGCTCTTCTATAAGCCTTATCTCTTCTATCCGCAGCCTCTCTTATGTCATCTGAAAACCACTTTTTCTCTTCCCATACTTTCGGAATTCTATATTTTTTCTTCGGTGCCATTACATCTAACGCATCCACTATACTATCGATGAGTTGTTTTGCTCTCTCACTGACATCCATACATTCACATTGACATCCCTGACTTTTCTGTAGTTTATTTTTCACTAATATAGCAAATTCATTTACATCAAACTCTTTATAATTTCTAGCAATAAATTCTCTATATTTACTTTCAATTTTGCTGACATTCATCTCAACTTTCAGCCACGCGTGATCCGTTATTTTAGGTTCATGAATTACTTGTACTATTTTATCATTATTAGCGAAGATTAAATCTATAATTGTCTGACTGTCTTTCATAATTCTCGTCGGTTCGTTAACATACTGTTTCATACCCAAGCTTAACATTGTTGCTTGCAATTTGCAAGTTGCTTGCATAAAACGAATCCATCCTAAGATCTATATTAAAATCTCCTATAACTATGCATTCTCCCTTTACTACCAACTCCACTATTTCCTCAAAGAATCTCATGAAATCCCCGTGCGATGCACTCGGTGAATGATATATTACCATTATCACTCCTTTATATACTTTATCTTTCACTTCTATCGCAGCACATCAACAATTCGATTCTAATTTTTTTGCTAATACTATCTCGTATTTAATTTCGCTCCTTACATATAGAACAACTCCTCCCGTATTTCTATTCTCAGCATTACATTAACTATACTATAACCCGGGACGTTCACTTCACTGTCTTCGATATCATCAATCAGTCTGGTTTCCGATAATGCTAAGAACATAGGATTTATTTTCTTCATAATCTGATGTTGTATCTCATCTTTGTGTGCCATTAAGCTTTGCGCATTTGTATATAGTATTAGCTCCGCTTCTTCCTGTGGTTGCTATTTAGCGTCCTCCCAGCCTGCTCTCCTCTTCTCCTCCTGTAGCGCCCTCTTAAAAGTCGGACACTCCGGACTAAGGGCGTCATGGTCGTCATTTATCNTATATTTTTTTTATTATTTTAATAAATTACCTTCGATTTAAGCCTTCTTGAATTGCGATAACTAATGATTGACAATCCGTCAAATTTTTGATGTTTTTTAATTTTTCTTGTAAGCTGCTCAAATACGGGCAATAAGTATCCCATATAATTCCTACGTCACTTTGTAAGATATCTAATGCTCTAGCTAAAGGCTCCATTACCTAAAGAAGATATTTAAAATATATACTTATTAATATACGTGCATATACAATACATATGTATATATATATACATATTATACATATAATTCATATATTCTATTACATTAAATATGTGCACTTCACCTGACAATACTCGTCTAAAAATTTTACGTCATTATTTGTCAGCCTTTGTAAATTACAATAGTCCAAACAGTGATTAATTTTATCTGAGCTATCTTTTCAAAAGAGTTACAAGTTGATATGTGGAATCAAAAGTTGAATTCCATCTATAACAAATAAATTTTGTTTTTATATTGTATATATGTATAAGTATATATCATGTGTATGTGGTGTTCGTATGTTTGTAAGCATATGTATGTGTAAATAGATATTTTTAAAAAAATATAACATTTATTAAAAATAAAATACAGAAAAATATAGATAAATAAAAATAAGAGCTTTTTTAGTTTTTACCTCGTAATAACTGGAGTTTTTAGATAAACGCCGCAAATATCTTTTATTTTGTCGGCCACTTGAGTAGACTGGTTTTGTTTATTCCACAATTTCGATAATTTTGCAAATATTATTCTGTACTTTTTTTATATGTGGGATCATTCTCCAAGGCTCTTTCAGAAATCTTTGGCTGCAATAAGATTAAGCGTGTGACTAACACACCTATGGTGTGATGGAAGAGTAATATCTTCCGTGTCTAAACTTTCTTCATTCGTAATCAATAGATCACTTAAATTGTGAAATTCCGTGTTAATCTCCTTATCTTCTTCTTTTTCAAAGTCTCTAAAAAATTAAATATATTTATATAAAAATGTAATATGTGGTTTTTTTAATATAATGAATACATATAAAATTATTATGCACATACATATAATACAAAAGTGTATATAATATCATAAAATATTAACTCACCGAAATGCTTTAACAAAATTTGAACCATTATCTGTTGTTGTGCAACAAATTTTATTTTGAATATGATATTCAACAAATATAGAGTTAATGGCTTTTGCTAAAACATCAAAAGTATGTTTCCCTTTAATTTTACGACAAGCTAAGGCGGCAGACTCTCTTGTTAAATTTTCTGGATTAATCCAATGGACCGTTACTCCTAAGTAACTTCTATAAAATAAAAGATTTTAATTATTTTAATTATTATGTAATAAAACATTAAAAAATAAAATATTAATGTAAAAATATTAAATAAAACATAATTATAACACCATGTAACCTTTTCGCTTTGCTCCATAAATCTGCTGTAGTTGAAACCGTATCGATTTCAGTAAATTGTTTTTCAAGAGCGATTTTCATATCCAGATATAATTTATTAAGTTTATCTCTTAATGTTTTTTTACACATTATTCGAATTGATGAAGGCAATCCAATTTTAATCAAATCAATTAATGCAGGACTCTCAACAACCGCGAGTGGTTGGACATTTTCAACAATAAATCGTAGTATGGCAGTGTCTAACTTATTTTGAGTTATTCCAGCTGTTCCAGAACTCCATTTTTGTAACACACACTGCTTTTTTGTAACATTATTAATGTCTTCTTCATATTGACATTTATTATGTGTGAGTTTAGATTTAGCTTTTTCCAAATCTTTTAAAGAATGTGGATGTTTTACCTATATTAATTCAATATAATTAAAACTTAGAAATAAAAGTAATATCATATATATGTATAGATAGGTATACATGTATGTATGTATGTATGTATGCATATATGTATGCGTGCATGTATATATGTATGTATGTATGTATGCTTGCATTTATGTGATATATTATATATACATATGTATGTAAATATGTGTGTATACATATATATGTATATTATAAATGTTACAATATAAAGAAAATAATAATATAGTAACTAAAAATTATTTAAAAGTTCAACTAACTAAAAAAGTTTTTAAACAGAAATAAAAGAAAGCATATCTAAAAAAAATTATAAAATTAATTTATAACAAAATACACACAAATATATAGATATATTGAAACAGATATATATGTAAATAACAGATATTAAGATATAAATTTTTATATTAATATTGTTTTAAATTTAAAAAAATCTGTTATAAAATACAAATAATTCTTTGTCATTTACAAAAATAGAAATAAAAAATTTAATGTTAAAAAGAAATAAAAGAATAAAAATATATATTAATTTATGAAAGAATTATTAATTTTTATATTTGTTTAAACACACTTATTTATTTAAACACACTTTTACATGCCATGCTTTTTATACCTACTATTTTTACATTGGAGATTTGATTCAATGAACTAGAATATACGGTGCAATTGTGTACATTCCTTAGAATCTAAAAAAAAATTTTTTAATTTTACAAATTTTCTTGTATTTTTTTTTATTTAAATATTGAATTAATTACTATTATAAAAATATACAGTTATCGTTATTGCGTTTATTTTGCACAAAGTTTTTAAGAAATTAAGAAATTATTTTATATATATATATATATATATATATATATATATATATGTATTTATTTATTTATTTAGATATTTATTTATTTATTTATTTATATGTATACTAACAAATAAAATATTGAAATTTATTTATTAACATAAATAAAAATAATAAGAAAACTAAACTTACGCTTATGTGCTTCTTTAAATTGGCTGTGGAGCTTTTGCTAGCATGTATAATTTTTTTGCCTAAACATAATTTGCAAGTAAATGCATAATTCTTCTCATTACTAAGTTCAGGTTCGAATACAAAAATTTCTTTGTATGCCGGCCATGGTGCCTTATTCAAGGATTTAGATGATGTACTTGGCGTATTCGCCTCTTCGGCTATCGTTTCCATTTCTGAGCAGATCCGATCGCTACAAAAAATCACAAACCAAGGCCAAAAGTTTTATTATTTTTATTCAGAGAGACTTATTATTAAATAATATTTCGTGTGATACAGAATAAAGCCGCACAATACTAAATTATAAGTAATGTCTTTTAATAATAAACGATTAAATAATTAAACATACTTACACTGTGAGAGATATAAAATATCACTTGCGACGTAGTCAGTGCAAAGTGCAAACCGCGAAATCAAAAACGAACGTAGCGTAGACAGACAGACCGTGTACGCGAGGAGATAACGGCCGTATAATAGCACAAAGATATAGAACCGCTGTAAAAGCCGAGACAGACCGCACGAGAGTACGGCGGAGAACGACCGCGTGATACAGTAATGCGGGAATATGCACTGTCAAGGAAGCAGAGAAAAGGTATGTGTACGGGAACACTTGCACAAATCGTGAACACATTGATTGGTACGATGATAAATATTACGAACTCCGTAATAAAAGCAGGACTGCGAACGCGACACGCTATTATTGCGACGTTACTTCTTCGATACCGGCACATGAACGATTGCCACGCGGTATAGCTTAAGGTTAAGTTAGTTCTTAGTTACTTCCTGCGCAGCCTTCTGTACAGAGGACAGGGCAGGTGCACATGCGCAACGGGCGTGCCAAATGGCGAACCTAGTGCGGCGAGTCTTACAACGAGCACGGTATCATGCCGATTTGCTAATGCATCGATCAGCGAAAAAGTAACGCTAAAAGTAACTGTAAATTCGTTATCGTTACTAAAAAAATGTAACTACGTTATCGTTACAGTTACAGAAAAAAAAGTAACTATAACGGTAACGGCGTTACAAGTAACGCGTTACTTCCCTTCCCTGTCTATTATATTTTTCTATGCGTTTTTATGTATATTTCATGCAAATATATATAATTATAACGGATTTTTTAAACTTTTAAATAAAGATATAATAATAATTATTATATAATAATATAAAATTATGATATAATAATAATTTTAAATAAAGATATAATTAGTAATTAGTATAATTAAATCTATAATTAATATGTATATATATGCGTATAAAGTATCCATTATAAGAGTATAGAGAACATTTAAAAAGTGATTCGTAAGTAAGAGTTCAAAGTAATTTTGTATAAAAATATAATATTTTATGTTATATGATTATGTTTAAATACAATATTGCAATATATTATCTTAGACATGATTATCATAGATATTGCAAATTTGTATTTATATGAAGCTTTTTAATTTAATTAAATGTTTTCAAGATATTCAACCATCAAAAGCAAAAATATGATTGCAATAACATTGCACTCTTTTCAATATATTACTATAATCTTGCTACAATATTTCATTGGAAAAAGCGGACAACTTAACTTCATCACAATCTTATAACAATAACTCAGCAGGGTTTCGCAATCGATTTGCAATATTGCAATGTTTCAATGAAATTATTCTTCAATATATCCATGCAATCTTATTGTACTGAAAATATTGTACTAAATATTGTACTAAAAATATCTTCGTTTGCTTACCAAGTGTTGAAAAAATAAATCTTTCATCAACCGGCCATATAAAATTTTCCTCATATTCGAGGTATCTCAATATCAAGCGAAACTTGTATAAAGTTCCCGATTGTAAATTTTCGACATGGTATGTTACTTCATTGTTATAATTCATTTCAAAATAATTCATTGTTTGCCACTTTTCTGCTGCAATATCTTTGTACTCTAGTAAAAAGGATCATCAGATTAATATTTGAGATCCATGAAATGTTCATGCTATTTATGTGTTATGCTATTTATGTGCATGCTAGTTATGACCCCGCTTAAAGTAATATTGTTTGGTTCTGAGTATATGTGAACGATCTTGCTTAAACTCTCGTTGTAGAAATCGCTGAAATTAATTGGATACACATGCACGTATATCAAGTAATCTTGTAATGATAGCGACAAGTTAATCTTTGTGAAAAATCTGCCATCTACCATATGTTTCGGCACATTGATAAATTGTTTGTCCTCTTGTTGCGTGCCATTCACTAATGCAACTGACTTCCAATGCACTTCGTAGGTCACGGCCGCGCAGTACACTTTCTTGAGTGGCATCCAATGAATTACTGCTATAGTAGGCGTCAAAGCTAGAACACTTATGTTTTCTGGTGCATTAAGCTTGCCCGAATTAGTTTTTATTGGTATCACATTTGAATTGAATGGATTTATTGATAATTGATCAAAGTAAAAATTGCTTAAAGTAAATTTCAAATTGTATTTTGTAAATGGTGTTAAGTTCTGAATCTCGTAATATCGCTCGGTCGTCAGCACATTGAATTTCTCAGACTTATTGAGATTTTTGTCTAAACAGCTTACGGAGATAGTATATATAGTAGTTGGTAAATTATATTTTTTGCATCCACTCTTTAACCGGCTCCGGAAGATTTACAATGATGCTGTTTGCCGTTGCATTCACATTCTCAAAATTGTAAACTTTTTCGTAAGATGAGACATCTCATTGGAGGATATGATTGATCAAAATGGGAAATTGGTATAGACATAATTTTATAAATTATATCTATATCCATTATCTTTTTAACATATTTGGCTGCATTTATGCTCTTGAGACTTGCATATTTCTTTTTCAAAACGTAGATATGACGATTATGTGGATCATCTTTATATGCAAAAATGTAAACATTTGTTTTGTCCATTATCATATATGTGAAGTAAATGTCATCATTTATGTTTTCCTTGTATAAAATTATATTGCACATAGAAATGTTAATGTCTGTTACAATTATGTAATTCTCACTTAACCAGTAAATTAACGGCGCCTCATTATTCATGTTATCAATTATCATATGACGTATAAAAGAATTTATATAATGAAATAAACACAAAGATGCATTTATCGGAACAATTTGTTTGATTTCTCCATCGAGATGATATTTCCTTATGTTATATGTTATAGCCGTCCAATTGTAAAATAGGGAATATAAAATTCTGAAAAATATATAATTATTTTACTCATTATAAAACATTATAAAACATTATTTTAATACAAACAGAAACTTGTATACAGTAAAAATTCGAAATTCTTATAATTATATTATAACTTATTATTTTTTTTTACTTATGATCTTAATTATACAAAAATTACAAATATGCATAATTTTTTAATGAAAAATTATTTTTTCAAGTGAATGGTAGTAAACGTACCCCATAGACGGTGATACAATAAAACGAGGAATATAAGTTTTTGATTTGAAAATCTCATCAAATTTAATTATGCCAGTTTCCCACTTTGTTAAGTCGAACTTTACAATATAAGAGTAAGCTGACTCTTCATAGGTGAAATATAGATTCCTTGCTATCCAGTCAATGCAGAGATTATATAAATAATTATCATAGCTAGCTATTTTTGTGATATTATTTTCATTAATATTCAATGACATTAGGTCACTTCCTGTTAGCCAATAAATTCTATGTTCTTGCATTGAATAAGTGACATATGTTACTGATCTGAAAAAAGGAGCTAACTATAATTGTATAGTAAAAAAATTATAATTGAGATTTCTAATTTTACAGATTTCTAATTTTACACAATTTTATTACTGCTATAATGTTGATAATAATAAACTAGTGCATAATAATAATAGTTTTAACTTTATAGCTAGTGTTTAAAATAATTTATGATAATTATAACCATTTTTTTATCAGTCTACTTACTCTGACGTTACTAAATTAGTAATGGTATTTGAATCCACATCCAGTATGCGGATATCTGTGTCCGTTGTGAGTAATAATTTAGGTATTGGATTTTCATGTGTAGTCGACACATTGATTAAATCCGTGTAAAGACCAGCAACAATTTTAGTATGCGCACGCACTCGAAAATAATATGTCGTGTTGGATGTTAGATTGTGCACCGTGTGCTCCAATTTTGTAGATGTGATATTTTTATCGTTGCAAGTTTTTTTAAAGTCTTCGAAGATAGAACATTGCACTTGGTACTCTTGTATTATTTCATCGGTAAATTCAGGTTGGTTCCATCTATAAAAAAATTAAATTTTAGCTATTTTATATTTAAGAAAATTGTAACAGAATTAACATATTGATATATTTATGTAGTTGGATTTAAGAAAAAAAGAGAAAAATGAAGGAATACAAACTGAGAATTTAGATTTGTTACCTCAATGTCACAAAAATGTCTTACTTTTTCTGCGAATTGACTGTCGAATTGTACAAATGCTCTGAGAGATGTTGGCTTGTTAAATCTGTTTTCTAGAGATTTTGAGATCGTACATATTAACATAGTTATATATAAGATTAAATGGATTATCTGAGTAAATCAGAAAAAAGAATTTAATGTGAAAATAAAGGAAAGAGAAAAAATAAATATAAACTACAGAATATGGAAATTAGCACAATATTGATCTTTAAAAAAATAATGTAAGAATTTTTTGCGTCATTTAAGATTTAGAAAAGTAATTGTTAATTCATGGCAAAAACGAATAAATAACTTTTAAAGTACACAAGTACTTTTCGGAAATTTCCTATAACTTAAGAAATCAGAAGAAGTATAATATTTGCGATTGCTTTAAAACAGAGTAACAAATTAATAAAATTAACTTTACCTTAAATTATGACAATTTTTATGTACAATGTTATGTTTGTATTATACTTTTCTATTTCTTTTTTGAACGGAATTAGAATTTATATTCTTCTCACTATTGGAAGATATTTTTAGATTTGATTTCAACTCTCTCTTGAAATTATATTTACATTTTTGCATCATAGATTTTGTTATTAATGTTTTATGCATTTTTTGCAACTTACCGATAGATTCTGGAATGATAGAAATGTTTGCAAGTGTAACTTCATCGACTTCTCGCTCATTTCTCACAGTACTATCATAATGACTCTCAGATTTAAAATTTAGTATATGATCATCATTTTTCTCGGACATTGAAATATCCTTCATAAAATATAACATACGAAAAGAATTAATTGAGTATCGTTGAAGCGGTTGTTTCTGATGCTTTAATTATATTTGATTATATAAATTATAAAATTAAACGAAAAATTGCCATTCATTTTTTGTTTGCTTAATAATACCGGTTTGATATACACCATTCCTAAATGATATAAGTTTAATATGATGTAGTTTTATTCATATCGTAAAATCAATTTATTTATCTTTTTTAAGACATCTTGTATATTAAACATAACTTAACTCATCAAAAAGAAAATTAATCAATAGGTTAACGAGAATCAATATAAGGATTCATAACAACTTTTAGCAAGTAGTACAAACGAAAGTGTAGCCTTTGCAATTATTAA